TGTAAATCAATGCTGACAGACCAGAGACTACATCACCCATGCTGACAGACCACCCGTGCTGAAAGCAGTTACCTCCCCAGGACACCTTCACCATCCATTATGGAGGTGACAGAGGAAAATCTACATGCTGCTCATTCAAGCCATTTCATATTCTGAAACCTCCACATTGACTCTTTGATTCTTGTTTCGATTCACCCTCAAAGACCCATTAAAACAGATATATTACAGGAGACCACATTAGACAGTTGTCACCTTTAAGTATCTGAAATGGCAGAGAATCAATAACTTGCTACAACCTCCCTGTTCCCGCCTCACCAACAGGTGTTTGGATTCAATTGCACTTCTTTTGTGAATTATGTTGTCCGTCCATCTGTTATTGCCCTAAGTTCACCGCTGTCTATACTTCTGAGGTATGAGATAAACCTTCGCCAAAAGACAGCCTGTTGTCTGATGACATTTAAATATAGGGAAAATGTCAGTTTTTTTATTGTTAGATAGTAAAGTTGGATGCATTTTCTCAGATAAACTACAAACAGCTTAAATGGTAAAGTTCTGTGTAAACCTGATTTACTGATTGCATGTTTGTCTAAGCTCTGTTCTTACGCTGCTACACAGTTAATTTTAAATCTGCCAGGCAATACCTGTTTGTGTTTAATCTGCTTAGTAATTCACCATCTGTATATTGTTTTCATTAAATACAACTTTTCTATAAAAAAAACCAAAACCCCTAGCAACTCACATATGTACAGTGGTTTTGAAATTTCATTATCGTGCTGAGGTTTTAATTGCATAATGCAAATTAAAAAAAAATAATCTCGGAATGCAGCCATATCAATAACAGATCTAGCAAAAAGCAAACTCCCCCATCTAAGAAATTTTAATTTAGAATTATATTAAAACGATAACACTGCCAAGGAGGTTAAATAATTAATTTCTTCTCATTTTAATTGTAGACTATTATTTAATAAACAAAGTAATTTACCAGGTAATTTATTCTACTTCTTCACAGGCAGCTCATTTAAAGTCTAAAAATAAATTGCTAATTAAAACAGGATTCACTGTTTTAGAAAGCAACTCATTTTCCTGTAAAATCTAACAAGGACTATGCTAGAGCACCCACTGAAAATCTTTGAAGGGCAAGGAAGCTGTCAACAAAAATTAAGTATTCTGGTAACTGAGAAGGCTTTCATCTGAACAATTAATGAAACACACAAACTTGTCACAAAACCCAACACTAGATCATTATGAAGAAACTTTGCTAAACACCTAGTGTCCAAAGGCTAACCAACTAGATCAAAGAAATGTACAGTCCTTGAAAAACCACAAAGCACAGGAGTTATTTGCACAACCCTGTATGTACATCTAGGTTGGTCAAGAGAAATAAATTTCATATAACGTAGCAAGTCCATGTACGGCCATACAATGTTGGGGCCTTGGACTTTTGATTTTGAAGACAGAAGCCCAGAAGGAGTTTATTCCAGGTAAAGAGAACTTGCATCTCCAAATCTGCTCAAGAGGATCCCACCTCCCTTAACAACATCAGTGTCAACAAACTCCTAAGTCAAAAATTCAGGACTTGAGTGTCCTAAAAACCATTAGACTGACATGAACTGCAACCATACATTTCTAGACCAGTTCTGTAATTTTGTGTTCTTCTTAAAGGCTTACCAGGCTGACATGCTGTTGGGCAGCGAGTCCACTCACTGAAAGGAGTAACAATGCAGTCTTTCTTGCAGAGGAGGAGACACGGCCGCACAGTCTCAGGTCTGATGGACTCTGGACATCTAGCACTCCAAACACAAAGATAAAATATAAAAAAAATATAAAAATATAATAAAAAATTAAAACTGTGAGGAAATGTTTTACTCCTAAAACTCTTGCAGGGCTGTGAGCATACTGCTATACCAAAGATATCACTCCTCCTGCTCACAGCAAGCCTCATTTTTCTTCTCCTTTGCATTCATACCCAAACTGAATTTAGTAACTTCAAAGATTTTTAAAAATAATAATTAAAAAAATGTGAAGCTTGGCCTGATGACTTCAAGCTAAATGTAACTCTATTTATGACACGTAAACTACAAAGTTCACTGAAGCAAAACACTTTCAAACCCTAGGAAAAACAAAAGTAGCTTAAAGTAATCTTTGATTGAGGCCTTCATTGTAATTTGAAAAGTTGTACAACTGTCCTGGTTTCAGCTGGGATAGAGTTAATTTTCTTCATAGAAGATGGCATGAGGCAATGTTTTGGATTTGGGATGAGAAAATGTTGATAACACACTGATGTTTTGGGCTGTTGCTGAGCAGTCAAGGACTGTCCAGCTTCTCATGTTGCCCTGGCAGTGAGCATGCAGGGGATGCACAGGGAGCTGGCAAGGGACACAGCCAGGACAGCTGACCCAGGCTGGCCAGAGGGACATTCCATACCATATGACGTCATGCTCGGTATACAAAGCTGTGATGCAGAAGAAGGAAGGGGAGAGGGGACGTTTGGAGTGATGGCGTCTGTCTTTCCAAGAAACCATTACATGTGATGGAGCCTTGCTTTCCAGGAGATGGCTGAACCCCTGCCTGCCCATGGGGAGTGGGGAATGAATTCCTTGCTTTGCTCTGCTTGCGTGCGTGGCTTTTGCTTTACCTATTAAACTGTTTTTATCTCAAACCATGAGTTTTCTCGCCTCCCCTCTTCCAATTCTCTCTCCCATTCCACCGTGGGGGAGTGAGCGAGCGGCTGTGTGGGGCTTAGTTGCTGGCTGGGGTTAAACCATGACAACAACATAGCATAGTAAGAAGTCTTGTGATTTTTTGGTATTCATTTTTAAATTCTAAATGAAAAATATGCCATGCATATTCTAATAAAAGTTTCAGACACAGTTAATATATAAAAATTCAAAAGGTAAAAAAGGGACAATTTTCTTGGATCAGGCCGATCTTTCATTTCAAGTGGGGGAGCAGAAAGGGAATTACTCTTTTTTAATTTTTATTAATTTCCAGTGGAAAGATCACTCAAAAGTACTTAGTAACGCATGCAACCCAAATCCTATTTGAAAGTGGAATATGCCATTAAACCCTACTAGGAAAGAAAAATAAATCTTAAAGTTATGATTCTGTTATTGAGATAGTAATAAGATACTTAGAGGTATAATTTAATAGAAAATAAATATAGAGAGACACATCTTCTCATTAAGCGTGATTATCCTAGAGGGCAGCTTTCTGTTATATAACAGAAGACATTGAAATATTTTCTGCAAAAATGTTAGTTTTACTTGGCTTTCTGTGCCTTGCACCTTCTTTGGATATGGTGTAATTTTGCTTCATGAAATCAGGAAAAATGCAGAATACAAAAAAAATACAGTATGCCAACACATGAGGGTTTTTTTTTACATTACATATCCCATTTCTAAGCCATATTAACGGCAGACTTTCACTACATCAGTTCTAAACCCAACATTACTTTGGGTCACTTTTCATCAACTCAAACATGAAATATAATATAGTCACAGCTGGTGCCCATGTTGAGGAGGGCTGCCCTCCACCCCAGCACCAGACTCTCCCAGGCAGGAACAAGGTACTATTTAATTCTGAAACACAGAGGTTTTATTCATTCACTTAGAACCGTCTTCCTGAAGACTTCTAAGAGGTCTAAGTTTTTATTTTTAAGACAATTATCACCATAAGAACAATAGGCAAAGCAGCAGCAAAAGAAACAATTTCAATAAGCAGCTCTTTTAAGGACTCAACAGTCCTTTCCGCTCCAGCCATTTCCATTACACGAGGAATGCCACAACACTGAAGCTACCACACCAAAGACAAGGACAGAAGACTTTCTGAAGTCCCCAGCACACAAATCTCTTCTTTTCACGGGATTTATCCACCACTGAAATTCTGTCTTCCCTTCACATACTTCACATGAATATTTACTTACCCCCTTCAGCTCCATTTCCCCTACACCATCTCAGAAGTGGAGGGGGCAAACAACTATCTTTGACATTATATAGCTCTATAAACAGTATGTTTAATTAGGTAAAGTTACAGTGTATCAATGGATTCTAGATAGAAATGAATACTAGATTCCTTTCCTTTTATTTAATTAATCTCATTAACCTCAAGAATTTTAATTAACTTTACTGAAATCAACACAGTCTGCTTATACGAACAGGATTGTTTTAAGAGCTACAATAAGAAATGAAACGAGGTTGTAAGTCTGTAGACTCATTAACAGTGCAAAAAATAATTGGCAATGTCTTGATTTTTTTATATTAGGGAAAACATCTGTGCTACTTCTTTTCCTCATTTAGTAAAGCAAAGCAAAATTCAGAATATTTGTACTCCAGAATACATAATTTTGCCGTGTTGGTATCACATTACAGAAGCTATATAAATCAACTGAACAATATAGATCACACATATGGTTCTGCCTTATTGCGGTGTAAATATAATGCAAACTCTATTTACCTTTTCTACTTTATTAGAGAATTGTTAATAATGTATTGATGAATGTTACATTCAGATGTACTTTATATTTTCCTCACACCTGTCCTTCAGGAAAAATATTTGCAGAAAACTGTAAATTAGAATAACAGCGGAGCTACAGAAAAAATCTATGCCACTTAGAACATGCACTTTGCCTGGATTTACACAGAAAATTAAAAATGGGTTAGCGATTTATTTTTATTACATATTAGTATCCCTTTCATTGTGATGGAGTAGTAGCTAAAGAATTAGTCCTGAAACTAAATTATTCTCAAAACTGCAGACTCCCTACACTAGCTGAAAATCCTTTCATATGTAATGTATTCTAACTACAAATAATCACTAATGACCTTGCTTTAAATACCTTTTAGGTGTGACCTGGCCAGAACTGCTCTTCACACAGAAGACATTCCTTGTCTGTACACCCACTCCACAAGTGGCTTCTCCGCTCCAATTAATGGTTGCATTAAGCGCAGTTCCCAGAACATCTTCAGAGCAAGAGCTCCAGGGAGAAGTCTCCCAGAAGAAATGCACGCATGGGTGATCATTACAGGCACGGTGCTCCTGCAGGGCTCGGTCAGGGGGACAGGTTTTTCCACCTGAAAGAGTCAAGAGAACACCATATTTTATCTTATGGCACGTGACAAAAGGAAGACATGGAAAAATAAATTAAAATATTAGGTTTGCTTAGTATCTTTTTCTTTTTCCCCATTAAAAAAAATAAACAAATAAAGCTTAAATGTTGACCTCTATGGCAGCAATAACAACCTCCTAAAATACTGTTTCCCCATTAAACTAGCCTTGCATAAAATTGTGATCCAACACATAATGGAAACAGAAATAGGCAAAGGGTATTTCTGAGTTACCTTATTGATACTCCTACACACAGCCAAGCTGATTCCATTTAAATGCCACTATCACTCAGAAAACATGCAATTAGGTTTAAAGACAAATTAAGCATTATTTTTATGTTCATTCTCCTTGCTAATTTCCCAAGGAGGAACATCTTTTTCTAATATTTGGACTCTGTTCACATGTTGCCTTAAAGAGCTGAGCTGTAGAGGGTGCAGGACTGTACTGATGGAGGAACTTATCAACTGATACCCACCATCTGCAAATCAAGGGGGAAAACTGAAAGATAGGTTTTGAGTATTGAAGCCTTTACTTTTTTGAAGCAGCATCCTTTAAATTGGTGTCCAAAAATTTTGCTAAGCTTCTGAGTTTTGCCAACAACTTGTACTAAATCCACGAAGTACAGGAGTTTGAACAGCCTCCCCAGAAGCTTTAACACTCTAGCCAGAAGCCTGAATTTATCCCATAAAAGCAGCAAATGTTCACAGCACAAAAGCTAAGGAGTAATGCAGTGAAATTGTTAATAGTAAGCATTGTCATTTTAGGAAGAAAGAAATAAAAATTACTAAAATCAAAACCATTCTCTTCCAGGAGGAAGATTCTGTGACATGGCCAAAGTGCTGCAGGTTTTGAAAGAACTGAAGGGTTGGGGCCAGATACCACAAGGTTCAGGGCACCTTTATGCCCTACTACAATCAACAGGAGAGGAAGGCATAATGCTCCTCAAAAGGATGCCTATCGTCTTGCAGGACTGAGCCTTCTCAAATAAGGTATGACCCCCAAATGGTCGCAATGAATCGCACTGAGAAAAGAGAGAGAGGGATAGAAATTTCTTAGTACACTGATTTGGATAATCATGTTACATTACTGTTTGTCTTTTCATGAAAGTGGACTGCTGCACAGTGTTCAGGCTCTGAAATGTTTAGTATGATGAAGCAGAAAATGCCCCAGGTAGCTTACGTTCCTCAAGATTTCGATTTGGCAGGAAAAATGCAGATCAGTTATTGCTCTCATGTGTTTGAGCACATGCAAAAAAAAAAAAATGTAACAAGCAAATGGCAAAATGCCTGATCCATTACCAAAAAAAAAAGAAAAGATCTAACTCAAAATTTGAGCTTCGCAGGGAAAAATTAAGGTGATCTTTTCAAGAATACCCATGGTAAGGAAGCTCTCCTAAACAGGGGAGAGTAATAATGAGGCAGTTTTAACTTGAGAAGATAAGAAATGCCAGATAGTCCATCCAGCCTCGCAGCCAGCCTGAAAAACTGCAAGCAGGAGATGCTGTTTAGCAAAAGCACAAAAGCCTGGCCTCTTGTGCAGTTCATTGACAGCTTCTGTACAAGGAAAGCAGGACAGCATGCCACTGCCTAGGTTTTTAGTAGGCATTTATGGAGCTTTTATAGACCTGTTGTTCATCAGTTCCTCTAATCCGTTTTAAACCTGCTGAGACAGGCTGCCTCCACAATCTCCTCCTGTACCAAATTTCAGAAGTTTGCTGTGCAAAGAAGTATCTTTTAAAACCTGATTTAAATCAAGCCCCTCTAGTTTCATCAACAGCCTCATCGTTTTCATATTCTGGGATCTGGAGAACAGCTTGGAGAAAAGGACCCAAGGGTCTGAAGTGAAGTCAGCCCGTGGGATGGCATCCAGAAGTCCTCAGACAGCAGAGCCATAACTAACATTGCCTCAGCTGATAGAGGACAAATGAAACATCACTTGCAAAAGTACCAGAGCTCTGCAGAAGTTTGTCGCTCAGCTGTGAGCTGAATGTGAAAGTCAGAGAAAGCAGGTAACATTGCCTTGGTATTGCAGTGATAGTGGTATTAAATACACTTCCACAAATTCAAATCAATCACTATTTATCTGTATGCAGATGTGTGACTCTGCATAGCAAATCATTATACTCATTGCTGAAGATGTACAGAAAAAAGTTGGGGTGTTTGCTTTTGATAGTTAATTATTCCTTCCTGAGAAACTTAAAGTACTCAGTTCAAAGCACGACATTTTTAGTTTAGTGTGTTTCAGGTTTAGATGACTGAGCTTATGTACTTCCAGAATTCTCTTCTTCAACATTTCATTTCCATAATTCCATGTTTATCTGTTATTTGCATTTTGCTACTTCCATGGAAAATATGAAGCCACCTGTATTTTTCATTTTAATTGTTCTCTAGCTCAATGCCTTTTTTAGTAGCAGTTATTATCATTCAACAGACACTTATATATCAGTTTTCATCCTGAAGGGTCCCGATTTTCTTTGCAAGTGCTTATAAGGATGTTTATGTGAATACAAACCATTCACATGAGTAAGGGTCTGCAAGATCAAGTCCTTACATTGCCCCAGAAACAGTGGGTGGCTTTAATGATAATTTACAAAACGGCACTTGACAGAGCTTGTCCTAGACTAGATTTGCATCTAAAAGTGTTTTGCTGCTGCATTAGCTGCACATAGTTCTGACAATAGTAGGTATTTTTTGTTATGTCAACAAGGCGTTAGTCTGTTAGACTTGTTCACACTTTATGGATTTTTAAGCACTTGATGTGATATCATTCAAATCCTGTGTGATAAACAAACACATAAATGAATTACTGTATGAGTACTGTAGTTAGAAGACTATACTTCTAATACAAAGTTTGTGTAAATAATTGTATCACTGATGTTGATACATAAAACTCCAGATAATTGATGTGTCCATGAAATTATATATATCCATCAAGAGCTATTTACTTACTCCAATAGAAAAACAAGGTCAATACATTCTAGGTCCGCATTAATAAAATAAATGGGTCCTCTTTTATTTCTTAATTTTTCACAGTTCACTGTTCTTTTCTAAATCGCTACTAATATGTTCCTTTATAAAGACACTTGCATGATGAGTTTGTGTCATGCAACAGTTTCATTAGTAGGATGTAGCTCTCCTGAATTAAATTTACCCCCGACTGGCCCTCAATAGACAATAATTCATAAGCTGAAGTGAAAAATTTTGAACTGTGACAGAATTTCTCTAAATGACACATGCATTAACCAAAACCCATAAAGATATTTTAGTCGCTAGGCATGAAGTACAGACAAGTAGTAAATATTATTCCTCATCACTACAGTATTGGGATTAGCTCTGATTTAAATCCAGTTTGACTGAGGAACGCAAGTTGAGTCATTACACAAACAAACAGCAATTAATCCAAAATGTTTGCCACTCACCCTCAGCTGGAAGGGCCACGATGGACCTAGTCCTGCTTTGACTTCCCTCAGCATTTTTACTGGAGCATGAGTGGGAACACGGGGACCACGGGGACCACTCACTGATGACACAGTCTGTTGCGCAAGGGATTTCACAAGCCACAACTTCAGGATGGGGAAGCTCTGAGCAGAGGTGATGTGGTACTTCTTCACCTGGAGCAAACAAAACAAGACAGACATGGAAGAAGGCACAGCTTGGCTCAATATCCACTGTCTGCATCAAACAGGCTAACTTTATGTCAAATGTCCACCTGCCCGTGGAGGGATATACTACAAAAGAGCACATGGTTAGGCTTTAGGCTTGAAAATATAATTCTTGAACAACTAACTTCAGTATTTCTTCATAAAAGCAAAAAAGAAAAAATGTGTTTTGAGTTTTGTGTGTGACGTCTTGGCTGCAGTCCACTTTACACAGCAGGCAAACACAAGGAATGAGATAATTCAATCAACAGCAAGCTGTAATAGCAATTATCAACAAAATTGATGATAATTGTCCCATATTTTCCAGCAATCTCCACCTACAGAACCTATTTTCCACAATACAAATTGTGCAGGTCCCCACAGAAAGCAGTTTTCTTTTGCCTATAGGCCTGAGAAGTGGCCAATAGATGTTTTGGTCCTCCTGCAACCTCACCAGAATGAACCACTATTATTTCTGACTCTGCTCCTCGCCCAAAAACTAAGAGATCCAAAATTACGGATCTGTTGGACCACTCCCATCCCAGGGAGAAATACTTTCTGTTTGAGATAAACCAAGGGACCTAGACCAAAGCATACCTCCTGGGGAGAAGCATCTTTCCAAAACTGCTTTCAACAAAAAAGTAGGACACTGAGGGCTAGTGGGGAAAAACCTACTAACTGAAAGAACCACGGGCAGACTAAGCAGCAAAACAAAGCACACGAGGGGTGTCACGTGGAGTCCAACACATGGAACTATTGGTTTTAAAAAGCAAAATAACAAAGGAAACATCTAGTAATTTTAGTAATTACATACAAGGACATCCAAATTCATAAAAATTCATAAAACATAACTCTTCTAGTACTGAATTACACCTAACATCTTACAAATACCATTTAAGTGGTGAACAGACACGACTGACTTTGTTAAATTGTTCAATTGTTTAGTATTGCTGGACCCTCATGAATTTTCAGCTACATATCCAAAATTTCTGGAAGCTCAAATTTGCCTGTTTATAAACAACAAGCTCACACTGAACAGTACCTCCTCTTTTACCCTTCTAGTAGTTACAAAGCTCTCCTTAGAGGTTTCTTTAATTATGAACCTAGGGAAAAACATAATGACTACCCAGCCTCAATTATACGTAGGAAAAAAAAAATTGAAATTTATAATGGTAACAACTGGCTCTTTCACCTCATGCTATAGGAACAAGCTCTGTAACAAGGCAGCCCAGGATGCAATTATAACTAGGAGAGTAGAAAACTGCACTGCTTTTACAAGGCAACACATGTACGAGTGAGTAAATACAAGAGGCAGACTGGTAGCAAGAGTGCAGAAAGCTGTCAATAGCATGGTGGTATTATCTGCAGTTGCATCCCTAAATGAAGACAGGCTCATCGCCCTCGAGGCATAAATAAAACTTTTCAAGCATATCATGAAAAGTAAGGTAGAATCTAGCAGGCAATCAGACTGCAAGATATGTTTTAAAATACTTTATTTTTATACTCCCTTTCCTTTGCACTTGTCTATACTCATCAGGAAAGCTCACTATGACCAGCCTTTGCACTACTATTTTAAGTCTACTCAATGAGAAAATGGAGACCACCACCCTTGCTACGGACAGCACCCATGCGTCGGTACAGCATTTGGCACCCCTGCAAACCAAGCTTGATCCATCATTCACTTTGACTAGCCCATTATCACCACTGCTGCTTTGGATGCTCACATAATGCTGAGAACTATCTTTAGAGAAAAACAACGTAAAAACCCTATGTAAACCTGTAAGCCGTATTTCAGCTGTCTCCTTGAGTCATTTTAGCGTCAAAATCCCTGCTAGCATTTTGACAGCTTGTCTGTACAGCAGCAGATAACATAAGGGCATCCTGGGCAGGTGTAATTTTAGGAGTCAATGGTACAGTAGCATCAAGAGATTATATGCTTTGGTGAAGTAGGGAAACACATCTGTCCTCTCCTATTGCTGACGCTTACAGGGAAGCGTGCAAACAGTGACAGGTTTCCAAATGAGAAGGGATGATGTGGGCCACTGGCTCTGCAAGCATGCCCGCCTCCAGCCGTGCAAGAAGTTATCTTTGTTATATACAGACCTTATGGCAAGCGAACACCATGAAGTTCACTAAATTCTGGATTTATCCCATTTTTTCCATCGGTTAGGTAGTGCCACGGATGCAAGCACTAGAGAAAACACTTTTTGCTGAAAGCCATGACAGCCTTTCCACTGATTCAATCTGACTTTACAAAGTCCATGCCACTCCACTCAGAAGACGGTTCAAAACACTTGGGTCTCCTTCGGGGTGGCTTCCTCCACCCATGAGCCCAGGTGCCACAGATTTTCAAGCGACCACCCCGTGGGGGAAGGGAGGCAAAGGAGCAAAATGCACTTTCCACTTCTTCCCTCCATGACTTCTTTTGACGCTAGATTTACAGCAGGTGACAGCAACAGTAACACTGCAAACAGAGGCTGCAATTCATGGTTCCTCAGCAACGAAAGGAAGCTTTGAGTTTTGTTATAAAGAGTTTACCACCCGGTGCATGAAGGTACAATTCAACACTCACTTTGATTTACTTTATAGCTCTATTTGCTGTGTTCAGGTTTAATTACTGGCTTGTATTACTGCAGAAGGGGAACGTTCTTCTGTACCAGCCATCTGGCAGAGAATTCTCAGAAAACTATCGTATACTACAAAGGGAGGTAATAATCTTTCATTTTCCGTGAAAACATACTAGTACAGGATACATCTGAAGTGTGCTTTATGCATTGTCACAGATTTACAGGGAATATGAAATTCTCTAGAGCTTCCAAATTGTCCACCCAGTATCTTGAAGGTGTAATTCTTACCTCAGATATTCTGAATAATCTTTCCAGAGGAGGCTTTCTCCCTCTCTAAATAAGAATAATGCCTTTAAACACCTAAATTTTGCATCTAACATGAGTTCCCCTCCAAGTATGCGTTTAGACCTCAAGACATATCATCTGAAATCAGCCCTGGTGAGCAGCAGGGTGGGGGATCACACCAGGAGGGTGCCGGTCTTGGAGAAAGCCACCTTTCCTTCAGGAAAAACAGGGAAAGGAACAGCATTGACCACGACAGCTACAACTTTGGTTTCTCCTAGAATTTTTTAGATGACAATCCATAACATCGCTTTGAAGTTTATCTTGTGCTAACCAGGAATTAAACCCAGATGGCAATTCAGGGACCCAGTCTCTCCTGGTCAGAGCCCACAGCAGCTCCCTCTTGATGGGAAACTCATTCCTGTCTGCAACTTGCTGTGACGTTGGAACAAACTGTGAGCATCATTCATCCATTCTTCAGTAAACTGAGCCATCCAAGCCAAAAGGACAGAAGGCGTTTTCAAAGAAAGAAGAAAAAAAAAAATTAAAAGTCCTAGTTTTGTAGGGTTCTCTAGTTAGCTTGGATCAGATCCAGCCCATCCAATCCAACCTACCCCAGAGGTTACCACCACTATCTTTGTTGGCTCTCTTCAGATACGACTGACTTGCTCATTTCATCTTTTTTCTCCCCTTTGACACTGTCCAAGTGCCCAGAATTAGTCCCATGAAATTATGTTTACTCTGAAGAGTATTTTTTTTACTTTTTAGTACTAAACAATACAAATCCACAGCTGTTACTGACATGCAGCTGGAGACCTGGTTAGCATGGTGACAGAGTAATTGAACAGTTTCATCCCAATGTTGAGGACACACGGTGAAAACTAAGTGGGACTCAGATTGGAGTCAACCTTGGGAAGTGCTTTTATCCTTAGGGTAACCACAAACAACTGCTGCTAATGTAACTGCACATGGAAAGCACTACCTGTAATAGAGTTACAGCTATTAATTGATTCATGCTAGTGATGATCAACACAGTACCTTGAAAGTATTCCTTGTTTTGACTTATTCCATACTGAGAAATGTAACAGGGCTGTATGTCAAGGGGAAATTATTTGTTCGTATTATGAAATGTTTTAAGGTTTCAAAGTTTTCAAAGTTTTATACTCCATATTAGGACAAAATCCAGATCTTTCAAAAAACATATTTTAAAAAGAGAGAGGGAGAGAGCAAGAGCGTAACTATGTGCCATCACCTGTGACACAAAACAAACAAGATCCAACCTCTCATCTGCATGAGGTTGTTGAACCGCCATCTCCAGCATCCCAGGAGCCACAGTGTTCCCTCTCACATGCTCTTTATTTTGTTTTAAGCACAGCTTTTGTTCTCAGACTTGCTGAATGCATGATTTACTACAAAAAAGTTCTATTAAGAAAAATGTTACTGTTTTCTATTCAAAATGTTTTTTTGCAAACATCTCAACCAACTCTAATGACATTTTTTAAACAAATTGCCTTGTACTTGAATCATATAATGATTAAAGGTAAATAACCAAGATACCACAGAATCTCAGAATCATTAAGGTTGGAAAAGACTTTAAGATCATCAAGACCAACCATCAACCCAACACCACCATGCCCACTAAACCATGCCCCAAAGTGCCACGTCTATATGTTTTTTTGAATACTTCCGGGGTTGGTGACTCCACCCCCTCCCTGGGCAGCCTGTTCCAATGCTTGACCACTCAGTAAATAAATTTTTCCTAATATCCAATCTAAACCTCCCCTGGTGAAACTTCAGGCCATTTCCTCTCGTTCTATCGCTAGTTACTTGGGAGAAGAGACCAACATCCACCTCACCACAACCCCCTTGCAGGTAGTTGTAGAGAGCGATGAGGTCTTCCCTCAGCCTCCTCTTCTCCAGACTGAACAACTCCAGTTCCCTCAGCTGCTCCTCATCAGACTTGTGCTCCAGACCCCTCACCAGCTTTGTTGCCCTTCTCTGGACACGCTCCAGCATCTCAACATCCTTCTTGTAGTGAGGGGCCCAAGACTGAACACAGGATTCAAGCTGCGGCCTCACCAGTGCCGAGTACAGGGGCACAATCACTTCCCTACTCCTGCTGGC